CCTTTTGAACGTCAAGTTTTAAATAACGCTGAAAAGGCCGAAGACATTGAATTTGAGCAGAAGATGGCGTCGACACCGCTTCCCACCAAAGTTGGCGATTACAAGAATCATCCGCTTTATGTCCTTAAAAAGGATTTACTGAAATTTCAAGGCATATACCCGTCGGACGCACCGCCTCTCGGCTTCTTCAGAGGCGAACCGGTTTACGCGCGAGAATGCGTCCAATTATTGCGGTCGAGAGAGACGTGGCTTAGGTTTGCCCGCACTGTCAAAGACGGCGAGACTCCCTATAAATGTGTCAAATCGAGACCAAAATGGGATAAATACGCGAAAGTTTTACGGAAAGATTTGCCGCTCGATGTGTTCGGCGAGTGGCAGACAGTGCCGTACGATCCCCCGCAGGCCAGAGACGGCAAAGTGCCGCGAAATAACTTTGGAAACGTTGACCTCTATCAGCCCTCTATGTTACCCAAAGGCTGTGTTCACATTCAATTGCCGGGACTCTTACGCGTGGCAAACAAGTTGAACATAGACTGCGCGCCCGCTATCGTGGCCTTTGATAATAATTGCGGCGGATTTGGCGCACATCCTGTTATGGACGGGTATATTGTGTGCGAGGAATACAAGCAAACTCTGTTAGAGGCCTGGGATGAGGAACAGGAGAACATCCGAAAGCGAGAGATTGAGAAGAAGGAGAAACGAGTTCTCGACAACTGGAAGAAATTGATTAAAGGTTTGCTCATAAGAGAGAATCTGAAGAAAAAGTATAGCAATCGCGAAGAGAATAGCGAAGAGACAGACATTGAGAGCGATAATTAACTCGTAAAAGGTTTGTGTGAACTATAATTATAGCAAAACCAATAGATTAAGTGCTCCTTTAATTTGCATAATTTGAAGGCAAATGATAGCAATCACTGAATTCTTTAGGCTTTAAGCGTTTTTTACACAAAAAATTGATTTATTAAAATGAAAGCGTTTTGTATCACAACTACATTAATGGTGTTTTGACTACAANACACCATTGGATGTATTCATCAACACATCACTAATACTCTTGATTTGATCCATCAATTGATAATCACTTCAAAACACTCACAAATGGACTGTATTTTCAAATCTCACTTTTAATTGTCTCAATGTTTACAGTGTTTTCATTTATATTAACCATAAATTACGGCAAACTTTTGTCACTTGTTTAAAACAAGTTGTTTTACACAACAAACTGAACAACAATTTGTATACGAAATGGACGTAATCTATGGACACATGGCTTAACATTGCGTTCAAAATACGGTATTTTAACAAAACTTATTGTTTTTGATTCAATTCAAGACATGATTTAAATGTGATTTGAATTAATTGTCATTTAATTGTTATATAAAGTGATTATTGATATAAATATTGAAATTGTTTTAATGAAATGAATGCTTAATATAAATATAAACACAAGAAATGCCCAAAAAGTGTGCGAAAAATACTTCAAAAAGTAGTGGCAATAAAAAGGCGAACAAATACTTCAAATCAGATGAAAGCGATGGCAATGAAGACAAAAAGGCGGAGACAGCGATGGGTTTGCGTCGATCTTCGCGGACATCGGTGTCATCGCTTGCAAACACATCCAAAAGCAAATATTTTGATGACTCGGAGGACGAAGAGATGATTGGAAGTGATGACCACAATGAAAACGATACCGAATTTAAGCCCAAAACAAAACGTAAAGCTAATAAAGCGGTTAATAAGAAACCAATTGTCAAATCAGTTGATCCATACGTTGACAGCTCTTCTTCGGATGGCGATGACTGGGAAGAGGTAAAGGATAACGCAATGGACGATCTCGAAGACTATAACCCTGTTATCCCTTCAGAAGGCGTTGAGATTACTGTCAATAAAGAAGTTGTAAAGAAGAAGAAGAAGAAGGGATTTGATGTCAACGATTACATCCGTCAGCGAATCAATCGCTTTAAACGTGATTTACAATCAGATAAACACAAAACTTCTTTACTTTTGCTGATCTCAAGAGCTTTTTACTTAAATAATTCAATAAATGATGAGACGGTTCAAGCGATTGCTCTCTCCGTTACAATCAATGCGTTTAAAGCACCGAAAAGACTGTCCGTTAAGTTCTTGAATGAATTCATTGATTGGTTTAAAGAAAATGTTGTATTAAAACCAATAGAAAGTGAATCAAATGAAACAATGATTGAAACTCTTTGTCGGTGTCTTGAGGAGAGAACCGCACGTAATAGTAATGAATTGAATATGACTTTTATTTCTCTGATGAGAAGTTTGCGTCCAAATTATATAATAAGACTGTGTTATGCATTAAATCCGATTGATATTAAAGCCGTTGATCTAATTCTGACTGATAAGCAGAATGAGGTGAAGAAGTCTTCGTCCGACAATAAGCCAAAGGTTACCACCGATGAAGCGAAAGTGCCAAAGAAATCAAAGCCAAAAAAGCCTAAAATTGTTGTTTTATCCGATTCTGAATCCAATGAAGGCATTGTCACAACAGAAAGGCTTGAACTCTGGGCCGAAGTGTATGTCGAGACCGACAAGAAATGGATTTCATTGGATTTGTCCGATGGTTTGATTGATAAACCCATGGAAACGGCATTGAAATCGTTTCCTCAGCTCTCATATGTGGTTGCATTGGATTCTGAGGGATATATACGAGAAGTGACCCAAAGATATTCAGACGAATGGATGAGCGTTGCGATGAAAAAGCGTCGAACGGATCAGAACTGGTGGACGCAAACGCTTAATCCTTTTGAACGTCAAGTTTTAAATAACGCTGAAAAGGCCGAAGACATTGAATTTGAGCAGAAGATGGCGTCGACACCGCTTCCCACCAAAGTTGGCGATTACAAGAATCATCCGCTTTATGTCCTTAAAAAGGATTTACTGAAATTTCAAGGCATATACCCGTCGGACGCACCGCCTCTCGGCTTCTTCAGAGGCGAACCGGTTTACGCGCGAGAATGCGTCCAATTATTGCGGTCGAGAGAGACGTGGCTTAGGTTTGCCCGCACTGTCAAAGACGGCGAGACTCCCTATAAATGTGTCAAATCGAGACCAAAATGGGATAAATACGCGAAAGTTTTACGGAAAGATTTGCCGCTCGATGTGTTCGGCGAGTGGCAGACAGTGCCGTACGATCCCCCGCAGGCCAGAGACGGCAAAGTGCCGCGAAATAACTTTGGAAACGTTGACCTCTATCAGCCCTCTATGTTACCCAAAGGCTGTGTTCACATTCAATTGCCGGGACTCTTACGCGTGGCAAACAAGTTGAACATAGACTGCGCGCCCGCTATCGTGGCCTTTGATAATAATTGCGGCGGATTTGGCGCACATCCTGTTATGGACGGGTATATTGTGTGCGAGGAATACAAGCAAACTCTGTTAGAGGCCTGGGATGAGGAACAGGAGAACATCCGAAAGCGAGAGATTGAGAAGAAGGAGAAACGAGTTCTCGACAACTGGAAGAAATTGATTAAAGGTTTGCTCATAAGAGAGAATCTG